CTGACTATTTGCAAATAGTAACTATGGGGACGAGCTAATAGAATCAAATATCTTTTCTTGAATTATGAATAACACTAATGGATTGAAATATTTAATTAAATTATCTCAAAATAAACCTTCATTTTGGTGCAATATTGAAATTAGCTTGAATTCTTCATAACTTCTGATTAGTGGGTGACCCAATGGGTCACGGTGGTCTAGTATAACAATGAAATTGGCATCAAAACATTGCTTGTATTTCAAATTTTAATATTATGTATATTTTAATTTCCTAATTCAAAAGAAAATATAAATAAAATAATGCTAAATATTGACTTGTAGCACCTCCTCTTGTCTTGTTGCTCAGTTTATATTTTTTACACCCACTATATACGTCTACAAATGATTAACAAATTAGAAACATGAATTTTAGATACTGGTAAGCTAGAATACAAATTTAGAACCTCCCACCACTTTGCTGAGAAATGAATGGATCTAGCAAATCAACTAGAATGGCTCCTACTCCGTTCTTTCCAAACCTCTTGTTTAGTTCCACCTACTTATCTTACGTGTCTGTTTATAACCAATAGAAAGGACAAGTTTTGCTTTATGTGATTCTGACAGTTGTTTGTAAAGAGCTTGGAAGAGAAAAATAACGATTTTGCCAAGAGTGTTGAATGGTGATGACCAAGTTGTTGTTCTGAAGAGAGATAAATAAATGTTTTAACACATTTATACTTTATTTATAAACCCAAGCTAGTTACAGATGATTTGGGTGTACTAGTAGATTAATGTTTTTTCTTTCTAAAATGTATATTCTTCACCCTCTACTCGAAAAAATAAACGAGTCTTAGCACTAAAGGCACATGAGGGCAAAATTTTTTCCAACCAACCATAATTTATCGTAAGTACTAGAAATAATTGTTTTTCTATGTAATATTCATTTATTGTTCATGTTTTGAGAAAAATAAATAAAATTTATATATATATTAAATATGATTATTACTTACTTCAAGGTAAGGGTCAGTAACAACTCAAGATGTTTCACAACTGTAAAAGAACTTCTAAACTACACTTTAGCTGCAAAAGTAAGAATGTTTTCCAACGAAGACAAGAGTTATAAGGCTTGAGAAACTAAATGAGTTTGATAAGTATTACTGAAACTAAAGTTTTTATTGGTTGATGAATAAGTGCTGAAAAGGGAAATAGGATTTTATAAACATGTGCTCCAATAACATCTTTGTACACCTGTACCACTAAATTTCAAACAACTCAAAAGGATTACTAATATTCAAAGAATTGCAATGTTTATTGTATCAGCACCAAACCATATAATAAATGTTTTGACAGGTTCAAAGTATAGTGTTGTTACTCTCTAAAAGTCTTGTTATGAACACTGTAGGATACATACATAAGCCGATAAATTACACATCCTGTTGTCGCCATACACTTTTTTACTGATTCTAAGTGCATTGTGATCACTCTGAATTTTCCAAGAAAACATTTTAGCACATATAACCTGATACATCAGACATCTTGTTCTCAGAGCAGGGGTTGAGTCGACTATCTTTCACGTGTGCTTTGTTGCTTTCAGGAGTACCATATTATGGTGGTGTCGTGTAAACAGTCTACTGACACAAGCGACAATTTATTGGTTTATTTTCAGTGGAGTTCTGCTTTAGCCATTGACAGTAAAATAAACACAGAAAATAAATGTAAAATGTTTAGCAGTTCAAACTCATAAGAGAAATACTTTGAAACTTCGTGACCAATAATAAGAACGAAAAAAAGGCACAGCTGCTCCTTTTATTTCTAATTTTACAACTTGTCTTTTCATTATACTTTCGGGATTTGTCTACAGGCTGAAGACTCAAGTATATCATTAAATAACTGATAAGATGTAGTTTTACTGAAAACAAATGTTTGAATTGTATTTTGGAAGTTTTAAAGATTACACAAAAGAAATTTGATATTTTTGGGATGAAGAATATTATTTTTAATCATGACATGAAAATCACTTCCACTTGGATTAGTAATGAAACAGACTTGATATATTCACAAACAAATCTTTAGTAAAAATACTTCATTAAAACATTTGATTTTTTGTGTAAAAAAATATTTTTAATGTTTACTAAAGGTATATCGAATTTTGTGAAGATGCACGTACTGAATTAAAAGTTATATTATAGAAACGTAACGTGTGCAAATGTGTATATGAACTTGTGTATATTAAATCAAGCCTGTTGTGAAAGGGTTAAAGTTGTTAGTTACTGTGTGAGATACTTTTCATCATGCATTTTTGTCTGGGCATGATATTGTAAAATTTGTTTATCTGTTTACAGCTACACAAACAGTGATAATATCAGATTCTTCAGACCCTATCAACATGGTCCAGGAAAAACTCACAATCAATTTACATAGGACACAAGCAGGTTTAGGTCTCAGTATAGCTGGAGGAAAGGGCTCAACACCATACAAAGGTGATGATGAGGTGGGTGGCATGAATTATCTAGACAACAGCCTTGCAGTTCTCTTTTACCATAATCAAAAATTCAAGGAACATTAGGGATAACAATAGAAGAAAAGAAATTCATTAACTCTTTCTACATGGGCATCTCTTACTGTGCATGTCACAAGGTTTTAGTGACCTTACTTTCAAAATTTAATTAGAATATTTTTAGTTTATGTTGTACCAATTAGAATAGCATAACATTATAGCTAATAATCCATATTTTAATAATATACAAGTTTTGAGTTCTTAATTTTATAAGGCAATATTTTAAAAAATCATCTGTAACTTAGGTCTTTAAAACTCCAGACAGTAAAAGGAAAAAATACATAATATATTCTATAACTGTTCTTGTGCATGGATTTCATTAAACAAGTAAGAATTTCAACATTTAAAAATGAACAATTATTTATTGTATAAAGTTAAAACAAAATATATGATTAAAAATTCTATACAATTTAAAGTCTATGTGTATATTAATAACTGTGTTTACCATTAAGTTGCTATTTTTGCATTTAGTTAACACTAAGGGTTTCATAATTTATTACTTATAATTCCCTTGTAGTTTAATGTAAACATTTTGTATTCTATTGAATTGTTTTGTTTTTTAGAGCATTTTTGTCTCTCGGGTAACTGAGGGTGGACCTGCTGAACAGGGTGGTTTACAGGTGGGAGACCGCATCCTCAGTGTAAGTAGGAACCTTAGAGCTATATTTTCTATTTATAAAGATATTAGTTACTATAGTAGTTAGTATTTTGAACAGTTTAAAATTTTTTACTAGAATAACAAGTACTTACAGCCAAATCAGATGAATCAATTCGAGTTAATGCTCTGGATACAAGTGGGGGGTCGATCAAAATGTGCATGTCATAACATTTTTGTAGTCACATTCAAAAGTTAATTAAACTACTTGATTAGCTATGTATGCCAATAAATTTTGCATTAAACATATTTTATATTATCAAAGTTTTCATTTCTTAATTTTGAAAGGAAATAATTAAATGAATTCAAATTCTTCACTTCCCTATGTCATATAACCTCTATGCTCTAAATTCCGTTTTTTTAGATTTTTTTTCTTCCATTATGTAGGTTTTAGAGTTTCCATTAAGATTTACTCTTTCCATACGGGCATCCTTTTCTGTGCATGTCACAAGTTTTTACTGAGTGCCATTCAAAATTTAATTAAACTACTTTATTATCCAAATTTTAGAATAAACTTGCCATTAAAATGTAGCTAATAATCCAAATTTTAATATTAAACAAGTTTTAAGTTCTTAATCTTATAAGGCAATATAAAAAAAAATCCCCAATTTCTACTAGTATGGGAATTGACATTCGCTCTCTAGGTTTTCCTTCTAATTTATTTACAACTCCTCAAAGAAGTACAGAATTTAACATAAATTACTTATTATAATATTGTTATTACTCAGGCAAAGCATAATATTTATAGACTTCAATTTGTATTGGTTACAGAGCCATAAGCTATAAAATCAGACTCCTCCCCCCACACTCACCTGTTACATTCTCTTGTTCACAAATTTCTAATAGTTCTCTTTGATGTTTATTACTATATTATGTATAACTAGCAGAAAGCCAAAGTTTTAATCTATTAAATGACATATTATACTATGTTGTTTTCTGTACAGAGAATTGTCTATTTTGCTTCCAGTTCAAACTTTATTCCCATGGGAAACACACCAATGAGCTTAGCTGAATTTGTAACCGCTCTTATCGCATAGTTAGAAAGCCAGAAATATGGTATTTACAGAATATTGTTTGCTTTTTACATGTTATTATTCTGTGTTCTTAGGTGCATTATTTCATTAAATAAAAAAGTATTTAGTGCAGTAGTACTATTAGTTTTAAAAAAAAAGGTTATGTTTCATCAATAGTCAACAGTAGAAAAAGAAGACCCATGTAAATATTATATTTCTTGCTTTTCATGTTTATTTATTATTCTAAAAGTAACTAACATTTGAAACTTTTTAAATTAGATAAGGTTAGATTAGGTAAGATAAATAGATATAATAATAATAAAAATTTATCATGAGGTATGCTTGCTTAGTAGCTTTTGCTTACATTATTTGATAGGGTAATGTGAGCTAAACTTTCTGAGTGACTTACAACTTGTGTGGTGTGATTATTAGTTCGACAGAGTTCAAAGGACAATAAAACAATAAATTTAAATTTAAACAGATGTAAACTGTTACTAAATTTAAGCTATTTAGTGCAAACAAGTCTAATTTCCTGTTACAATTTTAAGTCATTTTAGAATAAAAAAGGGGTAATTTAGATTTATTTCATACTTTTGTATGGTGGTTACAAGATTGGTCAAATTGGCCAAATATTTATAGAGTTAGGGTATAGAAAATAACAAATAAAGTATAAAGTTTTACTGAAAAATACTTCTGAAATTTACTTAAAGAGGTTTTAGAGATTATACAAATGAAATTTGACAATTTTCAGATGAAGAATAGTATTTTTAATCTTAGCATGAAAATCACATTGCATTTGTAGCAATTCAACACTCCATATATTCATAGAGAAACTTTTAGTAGAAATGCTTCATTAAAAATTTAATTTTTTGTCTACAAAAGAATTGTAATGCTTACTGAAAGCTTACAAAATTTAATGAAGATATACAAAACATATTAAAAGTTGTAGTATGGAAACTCAAGGTCAATTTGGGGTCAATATTTAAGTCACTTTGGCCACTCTTAGTAAGAGGGTTAAATCGTAAGATGAAAAGAAGTATTTTTATTCTTAGCATGAAAATCACTTTTCAGACTGACTCGGTAAAGACTTCATTAATTCACAAAAAAATGGTTAAAAATACTTCATTAAACAATCTGATTATTTGTGCAGAACAACATGTAATGTTTACTATAAACTTGCCAAATTTTGGGAAGGAACACTTAGTACATTCACTGCTATAGTTTCATGGTTACAAGTTTGGTCAAAATCTCCAAATCCATATTCAGAGAGTTAAAAATTATAATTTCAAAGGTAAGCCAAAAACAAGAAGTTAAACAAAACTTTGTAATTGAACTTAACTTAGTGAAAATAAATAAACTACTCCTTAAAATTTGTAATAAACAAACTTCAACCAAAAACTTTATGTACCTGAAAAGACAGCATTGACACACTAGAAACTTAGATACTGCCCCTGTTGACAAATAAGGGGTGTAATGAGCACCAGAGTGGTGAATGGTTGAAATATGTAACAAGAAAAATTATATACAAAAGAT